CTTGAATCCACATAGTTTATGTGTCATTTGGCTAGCCATTTCTTTTGGTTGAAGATGAGGCGTGATATTGAGTGTCATGTGTCTTATTATACCACTTGCAACAAATATTGTCTTGCTGGAATCCACATAGTTTATGTGTCATTTATATGCCTCTTCCTGTTCATAGTGTTCCCTGGGAAGATATTTTTGTGAGCTTTGTTTTAGGATTACCTAGAACAAAGAGGGGGAGGAATAGTATATTTATGGCTGTGGATCGTTTTTGTAAAACAGCACACATCATACCCCGTCGCTAGAGTGATGATGCTACACACATAGTTGATTCATTTTTCAAGGAAGTTATGCGTCTACATGGATTGCCCAATGCTATTGTTTCTTATCGTGAAGGCAAATTTTTGAGTCATTTTTTGGAGGACATTATGGAATAAATCGGGGACCAAGCTACTATTTTCTAATATCATCCCTAAACTGATGGTCAAATAGAGGTTGTTAATCACACTTTATCTACTTTGTTGCGGGCTTTTCTAAATAATAATTTGAAATCATGTAAAGAGTTTCTACCTCATATTGAGTTCACTTATAATAGATCCATTCACTCCACCACCAAGGTAAGTCCATTTCAGGTGGTGTATGGATTCAACCCGCGTGCTCCTATTGATTTACTCTCCTTTTGAAACAATGAACATGGTGCTGCACAACATGCTAGATTTATTTTGAAGATGCATGAGACAACTAAGGCCTTGTTTATTAGAGCTTTTGACAAATCTTAGACAACTAGCTTTTTGACCTTACAAAAGCCAAAAATCTCACGGAAGCCAAAAGCCAGAGGCTCAATATAATGAGCTTCTGGGTTTTTGGCTTCTAGAAGGTGCAAAAGTTGAGGTCCAAAAGCTCCTAGAAAGCCCAAACAAACAGACCCTAAGAGTAATATTGAATTCATGACGGAGAAATATAGAGCTTATGGTAGCTAGGGTAGAAATCAAAACTTTTGAACCTGGTGATCTTGTTGGGTTATATTTGCATAAAGATCATTTTCCAAACTTGAGAAAATCTGAACTCATGCCTCTAGCTAATGAATATTTTAAGGTACTTGATGAGAAGATTAATAATAATGCATATAAACTTGAGTTGAGGTTAGTCCCATGTTTATCATTTTAGATTTGAGGCCTTATGTAGGTGAGGAAGATAAACTTGCACTGAGAACATCCTTACCCTAGGCACTCAACCATTACTGGGACCAATTACACAAGCTCATGCGCGTCGCTTAAGTCATAAGGCGAATTCTTTATTCTCACCTTATATTGATTCTAAGGATTGTATGCTACTGAATTATTGTGATATTTGATCCTAAGGAATATGAGAGTGGCGCCTATGGACGAGTAAAGCTGTGTGGATCTTGAACCAATTTCAATTCAGGGTTAGAGTTTGGTTTGGATTTAGCAGACATCTTGCACTAGATCAGTGAAAACTCCCTCATACGAAGTTCAATTAAGACGTCATTGGATGCGCCAGAAAGCTAACGAAGATAGCTTTGTTTTGGTTCTAGGCCTAGGTGTAGGTTTGGCGTGGAACATTTTGTATCATTAGAATAACGTGTCGTGGCACAGTTTGTAACGAGTCATGGGCTCCAAGCCACGTGGGTGTCCCACTGGACACCCACAACGTAAGGACGTCCTCTTTTATGCCTAGCTGCTGCCATCAAGTTTGTTTTGGGTTCTGTTGAATTCTATTTTTTTCATTGTGAAGCAGGCATTCTTCATAATACTTGTGACACTGAGTCCGACTGTTGTCAGGGCCCCTATTCTTGTTCTATTCGACTATGTCAATTAGTCCATTCGAATTATGAACTTGAACCTTTGTATCTCCTATACTTCATTCACATTTACAAATTCAGATTGCGTGTTTTTACGTTCTTGCTTGTGTTCGTCAATTCGTATGTAGGAAAAGCCTTCTTAGCTAGATCAATAATCGTGGTGTGCATGGTTTGTAACCAACGAAGCACTAGTGTAATGGTTGCAGGGATTCAAATCTTACTTGATTAGAATCCTGGATTATGAACATCGAATTCTTCACCAAACGAATCTACCATACCTACTGAAAGAACGAGATGACTCCAATGGAGGTTTCATTGAACTCCAATTAGCAATAATAATTAAAGATAAAATTACAATGCTTGAAATATATTTTTTTAACACACAAACGCTTGAAATACGCACTGTCTCTGTGCATATATATATTCCATCACTGCCATAAACATGCTCTGTTTTACTGTAACCAATATCTCTAGGTTATGCAACTTTTTATGCATCGTTGTGGAGAGCCCTAAAGCCCTTTTGATATTCGGCCTGTTTGTTGGTTGGTTTCTGGACTCATAAGTCCGGCTGGTGCTAGTTTGTTATGAGAGAAAAACATTATTAACTGACTGAAACCAACAAGCGAATATGCTAATTGAGCACGTACCACTAATAAGTTGTTAAATGCTAACAAAGCACCGAGGGACCATCGCCGTACAGGTTACACCAAAGTTACGACAGAAGTATACACATATGAGAAGAGAAACGGCGCCGCCTATTGAAGTAGGAGAGGGACGAGCCTATAAATAAGCTCCACCGCCCCGGCCACACCGAGCACACAAACCATTCCCCAACTCCTCCCTTTTTGCCGTCAGCCTGCCCCTCACAAACATCCGACAGTCTCATCAGCGTCTCCCTGCTTTAGGCCGAGGTCACCGGGCGGCCACCGGCTCCACCACCAGCAGCAGCAGCAGCTAGCACAAGGTCGATGCCCCTCAGGCTCAGCACCACTCTCTAACTTTGCTAGTGTGTGTGCTCAGCTCTGCTCCATTCATGCTCTGCTTCCTTGGCTTTCATGGTGTCACATTGCGATCGTTCTATGGAGAGATGGATGGATGCCATCTTCCTTTTTGTTTGCTTCTTGCTTGCTTCTCTTGTTGTCTTTATTTATATGCATGCATCCGTCGATTTGTTAATGCGTCTGACATGACAGCTCGCTTTTTTAAATATGCCGGTGATTATGCAACTGTCATGAGCAGAGCAGCAGCATCTTTTTCTTTTTCTTTCGCCCTTTTAGCCGCGTGGCCATGCATGGCATGAATTCATGTCAATGCAGGTACCTGATGTGTGGTGTTGTGGTGCAGGCGGCTGCAGCAGCCATGGAGAGGCTCAACACGAAGCTGTACCTGCAGAACTGCTACATCATGAAGGAGAACGAGCGGCTGCGCAAGGCGGCCCTGCTGCTGAACCAGGAGAACCAGGCCCTGCTCTCCGAGCTCAAGCACCGCCTCGCCAAGTCCGCCGCCGGTGGTGGCGGTGGCGGCGGCAGCAACAACAGCAACAGCAACGTGGCAGCGGCGAACCGCGTCTCGCCCAAGCCCGGCGTCGACGCCGCTCCGCCGTCTTCTCATCAGGCCGGCGGCAAGGGCATGCCTGACACCAAGCCCAAGCCCAAGTAGGCTGCAGTCCATCACAACTCGATCACAAGCTAGCTAGGTGGCTGCTGCATGCACGTACGGTGTCGGTTTAGTGATCACTTAATTAGCTCCGGATGTGATGTTACTTCGTTTCAGGAATGTTTGTTTAGTTTTAGTTGATGGAAACCTCAACTGATGTGTGACAATGGTCTTGGATGACTAGATCGATCAGAGGTATAGAGAGATATGTGCGTTTCTGAATTCCGAGAGCTGAGCTTCTTCAGTCTTCGCAATGGTTTGAGGAGTGGCTTCTGAAATTCCTGTAGTTCTTGCAGCGTTCTCTTACCTTTCTTTTTCCGGTTTGTCATCCTGCAATCTCAGACAGTGCTTCAAGATCTTGTCGGTACACGTCGTCAGTACGGCAGTTGTTCATACGAACTACGAAGAGAACGCTCACCATCGTATTACCTGTCTCCGTATCGCTTTACAACTTTGATTAGTACTAGTAACTTCTACCGCGGTCGCAGAATGTATATATCATATGTACGTACAGAGTAGAAAACTTGACGATACAGTACGTCATCAGTTCTGCCTGAACAGTTAATGAGAGAAAGCAAGTTCACATGACAAAGGTGATTATCCTCTTTTATGGCATTGATGACAGCTTCCTTCCAAGACAACATACTGTACATCTATAAAATCGGCATGGCACAGTTTACGAGATGACACTTGAACCTGTAATTGACATGAAAGTGTAACATTTCAAGTAATAAAGATATATAATTGTCAGTTTATTTCGTTATTGGTGGTCAAAGCACGAAAAGTTTGACCGGTAGGGATTTTGGATCACATATATCTTGAATAACTTTGGCGCGCAGTTTCACTTTTTTTTTCGACCTGCTGGTCTTTACCACGCTATGATTGGCTACAAATAGATAGTCCAAGACAGTACAAGGGTGCACTCAACAGGTGCCCTGTTCGCTTGGCTTATAAGCTGTACTTTTTCAGCCAACGAATAATATTTTTCTCTCACAACAAATTAACCAACAGTACTTTTAGCCATGGCTTATAGCCAAGCGAACATGCCAGAGGATTCCTGCGATGCACATGCCAATATGCCACTGCCATCATCATTCGACATGGTCTACTACACCTTTCATTTGTCCTACCCACTTAATACGTATACAAAAAAAAAGGAGCTCATTGCATTGAGAGCTAGCATGCGCTTCGATCCTCTGTTCCTTCCCTGATCACTCGCTACTCTATCTAGTCACTAGATAATTGACTTGATAAACACTTAAAAGAACCTTCGATCTAATGTGAAAGGGCCTCTGGTCTGGTGGTAGGGCAGTCCAGTAGGATGATACCACCAACCAGGGTTCAAACCCGTGGTAGAGGCTAGAGCCTCCCAATCTCTTTCTTTGCGTGAGGCACACGTGTGTGGTATGAGTGTGTGGGTTGTGTACGTCTGATTGAACCCTCTTAAAAAACCTTCCATCTAACAGCAATGTGATTCTTGCTAGCTACATTCATCTTGCCAATGTTGGCATGCCTTCGGATCCTTTAGCTTGCTTCAGAAACAAAAGCAGACCAGCACCAAAATGACCAGCCATGCATGTGGCAACCAAGTCTCCTGGACCATGAACTCATCGTGCACGAGGCCGCCAGTCATCACGTCTTGAGCTCGTAATGCGCCTGTGTATAATCGACAGCCCCCTTCCTGATTCTTTCAACAACAAAAAAATGAAGTAATGCGTCAGTGGCAGCAAGCAAGGATGCATTTTCCTTTTTTCGGTTAGCTCGAACGCAGTAGAATTTCAGAAACAGCAGGAGAAGAAGATGATGAGTGGGATCACATCAGATGGAGCTCGATATATAACCGCTGGTCGCAGACACACCTATGCCCTTGATCCAGCCGTCTTTAGTTAGATCTCACTGCCACATCATTGCTCAAGATATGTTCTGATCTATACTATCTTATTAACAGTTCCAGCATCTTCCCCTTGCCTGTATTTACATTCATAATGCGATTTGTCGGGAAGTGAGATTTGCAAGAATGCAGATAAGATAAAGCTACATACTCACTCGGTAAAATGGAGAAGAAATATAAGAGGCCGGCCAATGGACAAGGCACATTCTTTGAGGTACCGATGGCCCAATGGCCTTCCTTTCAGACAGACAGTGTCACACTCACATAGGAGTATTTCGTATTTGGAGGAACGCAACTGCGTGCTGCAACGGGTATGGTCCAAGGGACCAGTGTTGACAACTATGAGTGCGTCTGTACAAAACCTGCCAGATGCAGAATTTGTACACATGCATCCTGTGAAGCACCTGATCATGAATCATAATGCCAAGTGCCAAAAGGTATCGAGTGCTGCTCCGAAGTACAATGATCATGGGCGATACGAACAGATGCGAAGCTCAGCGCTGCTGCACCGAACGTGCAGCACGTCTAGAGGAAATGGCGATATGATACTTGTGTACGTTCTGCTACTACCTAACAATAACAAGCCAGCCCCCATGTGTTCTCTGAAAAAACCAACCACCAATATTTTCCTGTCGTCGTGATCAGCTAGCGCTTTCTTCACTTGGGAAGAAATTCAGGCAGTCAGGCCACTGGAACATACATGTATACTACTCTGAGATGCACACACTAGGAGCATGTTCATTCAGTGCTAAACCAGAGTCGTGCTAACTGCTAACATCCGACACGCACAAAATATTTACATCCTGCAGCCGCAGCCACACGGCAGCACGTCAAGTTCGTCCAGCCTTCCGAGGGCTTTTAGCTAGGGTCACTAGCACTTCCCTGCTACACTACAAAGTACACCAGTACACACAGCCACGGCAATGTCAGAAACCAGGAGGCAGCCCAAAATGGGACACAGGCGCCTCACATTTCCACCCAACGCATCGCCGCTACTTCCACTAACTACTGCTACTCCAGCACAGAAGATTACTACCAAATCAGCTAACACAAGAGGGTCGCAAAATGGGTCGCATCGCACGACCATCATCTCCTAGACACGCCACGAAACGACTTCACTCGTCGTCCGGCACTGTTAGATAATATTCTGCATGCCTTGTGTGAATGCGCAGCAGGTGAAGATGACATCGAAAATGGCTCTCTGCTGTTGCACTGTAGTAGTAGCAGGGGCAGGAGCCGAATAGCTTACCTACCGCACTGTAGCCACTACAGGGGCAGACGTCAAAGTCAGTTCTACTGTCACATCTAGTAACTGTAGCAGCATGGCAGCTGTACTAGGACTATATGGATAGAGTTGTATAAATAGTTTGCCACTGCAACTCAGTAAAGAACGAGTTCAGATTTTCCATCTCATATACAGAGCTCCGGCCAACGTTGATGTCTCTGCTGTGTGTGTATATTTTGTTCTCCCTCTCTTCTTCTACCTCTAGCCATAGTGTGTGGTCGGCAACGACAACTCGTGGTCGGCATCGCTAATGTGTGCTCGGCAACCCTAGTGAGTGGTCAGATATCTCCGTACCGGTGATCGAGGGGCTAACAAGTAGTATTGGAGCCGTACAAACGTCGTCGCTGGACTAACCGCTGGCGATGACGGACGGTTCGAAGATGGGCAACAACAGTGGCATTGCTGTGGCTGCCCAGCTACGACAGGATGTCGTTGTTCACATGGTGCGGGAGGTCAGCGGCACCAGTTGATCGACGCTGACTCGCACCAACTGTGGAGAGTGGTCGGTAACCATGAAGATAAAGGTCAAAGTCCGACGGCTCTGGAATGCTGTTGATAAGGGCATCGACAAGGAGGAAGATGATATATCAACGTTGGAGGCTATCCTCGCTGCTGTACCGGTGGAGTACAGGGAGCCGTTGGGGGTGAAAAGCTCTGCTAAGGAGGCTATTACGCGATGCGCGTCGGTTCCGACCGCGCAAAGAAGGCGACGGCCCAGCTTCTAAAGTAGGAGTATGCCAACCTCAAGTTCAAGGATGGTGAATCCGTGGAGGACTTCTCCCTCTGCCTGCAGACGCTCATCAGCAAGGTGAAGAGCCACGGCGTCACCATCGACGAAGAAGAGACGGTCTCCAAGTACCTCCACTCCGTGTTGGCAAAGTACATTCCGATCGCTCTCTCCATAGAGACGATGCTGGACTTGTCCACCCTCACCATTAAGGATGTGACAGGCCGTCTATGGGCGGTGAACGAGCGCCTAGAGCAGGCAACAGCAACGAAGGACAACGGCAAACTACTTCTGACAAAGGAAGAGTGGGTTGCTCGAAGGAACTCTGGGGTAGCCTCCTCCAGCCGCGGTGGCGATGGCAAGCGCCGCGGCAAGGCTTCTTCGGAGAAGAAAAAATAGGTCGACCCTAATGCCTGTCGGCGCTCCGGGAAGACGGGCCATTGGGCACGGGAGTGCCCAAATCGCAAGCAGGAGAAGAAGGCTGAGGCTCATCTGGCGCAAGCTGATGATGATGATGAGGCCACTATCCTGATGGCGACGTTCTGTGCACTGCACGACATCGAGGTCGAGGAGAAGGAAGAGGTGACGACGGTGGAAGGACCTGGGAAGGCCCTGAAGGCTGTTAACCTCAACGAACCATGTGCCCAAGTCCACCTCGTATGTGTGGACGGGGAGCAGGAACAGCGGTGGTATCTAGACTCTGGTGCCAGCAACCACATGACGGGCTTCAAGGAAGCCTTCTCCGAGCTCGACGACGATATTACCGGTATGGTGAAGTTTGGTGACGGCTCAAGGGTGGCTATCAGAGGGCGCGACACCATCATCTTCAGGTGTCAGAACGACGAGCACCGCGCGCTAACAGATGTATATTACATTCCGCAGCTACGTTCAAGCATCATCAGCATTGGCTAGCTGGATGAGAGCCGTAGCAAGGTACTGATCAAGGATGGAGTCCTTAGGATCAGGTTCCGGGAACAGCAACTTCTTGCCAAGGTGAAGAGGTCCTAGAACCGGTTGTACCTGCTCTACCTGAAGGTAGAGCAGCCGGTGTGCCTGGCGACAAGGCACACCGAGGAACCGTGGCTGTGGCATGCCCGGTTCGGATATCTCAGCTTCGACATGCTTGGTCGGCTGGAGAAGATGGTCCGAGGGCTACGCCACATCGAGCACGAAGGCGAGTTGTATGATAGCTGCCTTGCCGGGAAGCAGAGGAGGTTGTCGTTCCCAAAGGTGGCTAAGTATCGCGCGGAGGACGCTCTCGAGCTCGTCCACGATGACCTCTGCAGGCCGATCACGCCAGCCACAAAACGGTGGTCGGCGATACTTCCTCCTGCTCGTGGATGATTGTAGTCGCTACATGTGGCTGCAACTCCTGACGAGCAAGGACGAAGCGACGGGGGCGATCAAGAAGTTCAAGATACGTGCGGAGGCCAAGAGCGACAAGAAGCTCCACGTACTGAGGACTGATTGCAGCAGCGAATTCACTTCGGTGGAGTTTGCTGCGTACTGCACGGATCAGGGTGTGGTATGCCACCACACCGCACTATACTCGCCACAACAGAATGGTGTGGTGGAGCGGAGGAACCAGACGGTGGTCGGCATGTCTCGATCCATGATGAAGGCCAAAGGCATACTGGCAAGGTTCTGGGGTGAAGCGATGACCACGGCGGTGTTCATCCTCAACCGTGCTCCCACCAAGGCCCTGAAGGGCAAGATGCCGTTCGAGGCTTGGCATGGGCGCAAGCCGAGCGTGTCCTTCCTCCGGACATTCGGCTGCACCGGCCACGTTAGGAAGATGAAGCCGATCCTCATCAAGCTGGAGGACAGGAGCACACCAATGGTGTTCCTGGGCTATGCGAAGGGTACCAAGGCGTACCAGCTCTACGACCCACGCCGAGACAAGGTGAAAGGTCCTAATATGGCTAGAGGGGGGGTGAATAGCCTATTTGAAAACTACAAATCAACTAGAGCAATTTGATTAGTATGACAAATGGCGTAATGTAAACTTGCTCTAGCTCTACAAGGGTTGCAAGCCACCTATCTAAAAATTCTAGTTGCAATGATTACTTAGGCACACAAACTTGCTATGTAACTACTCACTAAGAGCTCTCAATCTTGCTACTCTAAAGAGCTCAACTAGTTGAATGTAAATAATGAAGCAAGCTCTCAATTCTAATTACACTAAAGAGCTTGTATCAACTAGTTTGCAAGAAAGTAAATAAGTGAGTAGGGTGATTATACCACCGTGTAGGGGATGAACCAATCACAAGATGAATATATATCCAATCACCGGGAGAATGCCAAAGACAAGAGACACTCGATTTTCTCTCGAGGTTCACGTGCTTGCCAACACGCTACGTCCCCATTGTGTCGACCAACACTTGGTGGTTCGACGGCTAAGAGGTGTTTCACAAACCTCGTCCACACGATAGGACACCATAAGAACCATCCCACAAGTGAGGTAACTCAATGACACGAGTAATTTACTAGAGTTACCTTTCGGCACTCCGCCGGGGAAGGTATAACTCCCCTTACAATCACCGGAGATGCCCACGAACAATCACCAACTCGTGCCAATCCTCCACCGCTACTCCAAGCCGTCTAGGTGGTGGCAACCACCAAGAGAAACAAGCAAAATCCACAGCGCAACACAAATGCCAAGTGCCTCTAGATGCAATCCCTCAAGCAATGCACTTGGATTCTCTCCCAATCTCACAATGATGATGGATCAATGACGGAGATGAGTGGGAGGACTTTTGCTAAGCTCACAAGTATGCTAGGTTCATGAAAATGTGCTGGATAGTGAGCTTGAGCCGGCCATGGGGCTTAAATAGAAGCCCCCACGAAATAGAGCCGTTATACCCCTTCACTGGGCAAAACGTGTGCTGACCGGACGCACCGATCATTCTGACCGGACCCTAGACCAGCGTCTGGTCCACAGATGTAAGTCACGTGTCATTCTGATTTCAAACTGAGCCGCCAGATCACAACGACTATATTCTGACCGGACGCTCCAGCAAACCTGACTGGACGCTCAACCCCAGCGTCCGGTCGTTTACAGTAAGGTCCCAAACCGGGTTTTCTTCGACCGAACGCGTCCGGTCCTCCTCGACCGGACACAGAACAGCGTCCGGTGTAATATCCTAGACACAGTGCTGACTCGTCAGTTCGACCGAACCCAGACATTTAGCGTCCGGTCAATTTAGACCCAGCGTCCGGTGCATCACCGACACTGGCGTCTTCTCTGCCACACCTGACCGGACGCGCCGGTCCACCCAAGACCAGCGTCCGGTCACAGTGAAAACAGTGAGACTGAGTTTCTTTCTTCTCTATCTCCTTCACCCTTGCTCAAATGTGCTAGCCACCAAGTGTATCACCTTGTGCACATGTGTTAGCATATTTTCACAAACATTTTCAAGGGTGTTAGTGATCCACTAGATCCTAAATGCATATGTAATGAGTTAGAACATCTAGTGGCACTTTGACAACCGCATTTCGATACGAGTTTCACTCCTCTTAATAGTACGATTATCTATCCTAAATGTGATCACACTCGCTAAGTGTCTCGATCACTAAAACAAAATGGCTCCTACAGTTTATACCTTTGCCTTGAGCCTTTTGTTTTTCTCTTTCTTCTTTTCTAAGTTTAAGCATTTGATCATCACCATGCCATTACCATCGTCATGATCTTCGCTATTTCTTCATCACTTGGAGTAGTGCTACCTATCTCACAATCATTTTGATAAACTAGGTTAGCACTTAGGGTTTCATCAATTAACCAAAACTAAACTAGAGCTTTCACAAGGTACTTGTCTCGTGCGACGTCGTGCTCGACGAGAAGACGGCTTGGGACTAGAACAGTCTGAGCACGGGGGAAGTTGGCGGCTTCACCAGCACCTTCGTCGTCGAGCACTTGGTCATCCATGGGGGTGGAGACGCTGGGGAAGAGGTGCTGAGCACTCCGGGAGGGGTGCCGAGCACTCCAGCGATAGAGCTGAGCACTCCGAGAGAGGTGCCGAACACTCCAGGAGAGGTGCCGAGCACTCCAGGAGTGGAGCGGGGAGGTCCTACAGTGGTGGCGACCACTCCAGGACGGGTGCCGAGCACTCCCGTAGCAGAGCCGAGGGGTCTTGCAGTGGTGCTGACCACTGCAAGACGGGTGCTGAGCACTCTGGGAGGGGTGCAGACCACTCCAGGAGTGGTGACGAGCTGTTCCAGAATAGTGCCAAGCACTGCAACCAAGGTGTAGAGCACCCCAGGTACTGTGCCGAGCACTCTGGCGGAACAGGGAACTCCATCGACGCCGATCGAGCTCGTCTCACCTCCAAGTGACATCACTGAGTTCGTGGATGCCTTCCACGATGGTGAGGAGGTGCGGTTCCGTAGGCTGGACGACGTCATCGGCGGCACAGGGTCCTCAGGCCTGGCGGGTAGGTTGCTCAATGACCCAGAGCTGCTGCTCATCAGTCTAGAGGAACCACCTACGTTCGCGCTGGCCGAGCGCGATGGAAATTGGCGATAGGCGATGCTAGAGGAGATGAAGGCGATCGAGGAAAACGAGACTTGGCAGCTCGTCAATCCACCTACAGGATGTCGTCCGATCAGCCTAAAGTGGGTGTACAAAGTCAAGTGGGATGAGCAAGGGGCCATTGTCAAGCACAAGGCGCGTCTCGTCGCCCGAGGCTTTGTTCAGCGTGAGGGCATCGAATTTGAGGAAGTCTTTGCGCCGATAGCGCGCATGGAGTCTGTCCGACTGCTTCTGGCTTTGGCAGCAGCAAAGGACTGGAGTGTCCATCACCTGGACGTAAAATTGGCCTTCCTCAACAGCGAGCTGGCGGAGACGGTCTTCGTTAGGCAACCTCTAGGTTTCGCCGTCAAGGAAGCGGAGCACAGGGTGCTCCGACTGCACAAGGCGCTCCACAGGCTACGGCAGGCCCCACGAGCATGGAACGCCAAGCTTGACGCCACGTTGGGCGAGCTTAGGTTCATGAGGTGCGCAACCGAGCACGCGCTCTACACGCGGCGACGGGAAAGGAGGAGCTCATCGTTGGCGTGTATGTCGACGACTTGATCGTCACCGGTGCGTGTGCAGATAACATCGACAGCTTTAAGGGCGAGATTGCGACTCGTTTTCGAATGAGCGATCTCGGCGCACTCTCCTACTACCTCGGCATCGAGGTGAGACAGGGGAAGGAGGCACTCATGCTTGGTCAGAGCACGTACGCCTCTAAGATGTTGGAGTGGAGCGGCATGGCTGAGTGCAAGCCATGCGTGGCTTCGATGGAGGAGCGACTGAAGCTGACGAAGGCCAGCACCGCGGTGAAGGTGGATGCAACATTCTACCGGAGGATCGTCGGCGGTCTGCGCTACCTAGTCCACACGAGGCCGGACATTACGTTCGTCGTGGGCTACGTCAGTCGTTTTATGGAGGATCTCAGAGAGGATCATTGGGCTACAGTGACGCGCTACTGCGCTACATCAAAGGGACGGTGAATTAGGAGATCGTCTTCCTCAGGACTGGCGGAAGTAGGCTGCAGCTCACTGTGTTCAGCGGTGCAGACATGACGGGGGACATCGACGGACGACGGAGCACCTCTAGCGTGCTTGTCTTCCTCGGGTCTGCTTTAATTTCATGGATGTCGCTGAAACAGAAGGTGGTGGCGCTGTCTACGTGCCAGGCAGAGTACGTAGCGGTGGCCACAACGGCGTGCCAAGTTGTGTAGCTGCACCGGCTGCTGGACGAGCTGACCGGTGCGGAAGCTCACCCACTAGCACTAATGGTGGACAACCAGCCCGCTATCGCCTTCACGAAGAATTCAGTTCTCCACGACCGGAGCAAGCACATCGACGTGAAGTTCCACTTCCTCAGACACTGTGTCGATGAAGGGCAGATCGTCATCGAGTTCATCGAAACTGGTCGGCAACTCGTGGACGTCCTCACCAAGCCGCTCGGTCGTCTTCGACTCACGGAAATGAAGAAGATGATCGACATGGAGAGGATTCAAAGGTAGCAGAAGGATTAGGGAAAGAATTATTAGATAATCTTCTGCATCCATTGTGTGAATGCGCAGCAGGTGAAGGCGGCGTCGAAAAGGGCTCCCTGCTATTGCACTGTAGTAGCTGCAGGGGCAGACGCCGAACGGCTCACCTACCGCACTGTAGCCACTACAGGGGCAGGTGCCAAAGTCAGTCCTACTATCACATCTAGTAACTGTAGCAGCATGACAGCTGTATTAGGACTAGATGGATAGAGTTGTATAAATAGCTTGCTACTGCAACTCAGTAATGAGCGAGTTTAGATTTGCTATCTCATATACAGAGCTCCGGCCAATGTTGGTGTCTCTGCTGTGTGTGTATGCTATGTTCTCCCTTCCTTCTTCTACCTCTAGCCATAGTGTGTGGTCGGTAACGATAGCTCGTGGTCGACATTGCTAATGTGTGCTTGACAATACTAGTGAGTGGTCGGATATCTTCATACCGGTGATCGAGGGGCTAACAGGCACCACCTCCATGTTCTGCTCCTCGTACTTCACCCCAACCAGGAAGCAAATGCTCATCTGCACGACATGAACCAGGTCACGGGTCACAACAATCGGTTTGTTCGACTGGACTGAAAAAATACTGTTTATGCTGGTTTGTTATGAGAGAAAAAACACTGTCCTTGCTCAGCCGAAGATGTGAAATGGCAATCGCCAATGCACGAGCCACCCACCAGGGAGATGAACACGCGCGCGCACACACACCTGCTTGGGGTCGTACACAGCATACTCGTTGTACTCGAGCGGGCCGTCCTTGTTCGCCGACGGCACCAGCTTGCCGCAGGGGACCGTCACGCCGTCCCTCCAGGTGATGTGCTCCCACTCGTCGGGAGTCTTCCTTCCGACACCTTTCACGCCCATCTTCTTCTCTTCCAAGACTCGTGCCTCCTGTTCAGCGTTCATCAAAACAGATGGCTGGATCATTCAGAGCCTAGCTTAGGATAGGTGTGGCTGCTTCAAGATCACTGGAGGGAGAGGGAAGGTTCACCTCTGCCCCTGGTGTTCCGGTTACTTCTTTGATCTCTTCTCCCAGAGAGGCCACCGCCAGCACCAGGTACCCTTCTGGGCGGTCCACTGCAGTGAAGCGGTAGCGAGCCGCTTCAGCTGCTGCATCAGAACAGACTATGGCTTTGCCGAACTGAAAATGTAACGTGAAATCATTTAACATAGCTCTCAAATCTCTTGCGAGTGGACGGGATACATGATCAATGGGTGGTTACTTACCATGTACCCTGGCACAGGAAGATGACAGACAGCAGGCAGGAATCCTTTATACAGGTGCCTAAGCAAGTTAGAGCTTCTAGTCCCTGTCCGAAAAAACAAGAGACCACATATATGTTAAACTAGAATGAATACATGCTTGTGTTGTGCCATTGAATCATGCATGGTTAGCAATCGTGATTCATGATTCCGTGAACAGAAAAAGACTAACATACCACACCAAAGAAGAATTTTGTTTGGCAGATTCTTTATTTTCTCGTAAGAAGGAAATGCACTGGATTCAACAGCATATATCCTCTCAACAGACACACCATAGACCTGCACCAACGTTTGATCATTGGACATGTTCCGTGGAAGGTGATATTTAACTTTTTACTATTATAATGGATGTCACCTCTTCAGATAGCACTCTTAAAATTGCTCCTACATATTTACCATCGAGAGAGAGCATTCGATACATTCTTGCCATTTTCGCTAACGTGGCACGCCAACTCGATCTGACAGCATAGACCGGCTACGGGAAATGACATTTTTGCCCCTCTCCGCCGCGTGGATCCGCCGCCTGCTAGAGGCCTTCGTGCTGTGCCAGGAGGAGTTCCGTGTCGTGGTGGCCCAGGCGCGGCGCCACGCCGGGGCGCAGCTGCCTGCGGCTGCCGAGAGGATGGTGGCCGAGTTCCACGAGCGCGCTGTCAAGGCGCTCGACGTCTGCAACGCGGTGCGGGACGGCGTGGACCAGGTGCGCCGCTGGGAGCGCCTCGCCAACATCGCGGCCTCCGCGCTGCCCCCCTCCCCCCCCGGGGAGGTCCGCGAGGGCCAGCTCCGCCGCGCGCGCAAGGCGCTCACAGACCTCTCCGCGCTCCTCGTCGATGCCGCCGCCACGGCGTCGGGGCCCGGCGGCGTCGCCTCCTTCCTCTCCTCCCACTGCAACCGCTCCTTTGGCCGCGCACGGGCCTCCCCGTCGCGCACCGCGGGCTCCGTGCGCCGCGGCATCCGCGACTGCCTCCCACTTCCGCTCCCTCTCCTGGAGCGTGTCCCGCACCTGGTCTGCCGCGCGCCAGCTGCAGGCCATCGGGGCCGCGCTCGCCGCGCCGCGCGCGCACGGGGCGAGCCTCGCCGCCCCCGTCTACTCCATGGGCTGCGTGCTCCACCTCACCGCCTGGGCGCTCGTCGCCGCCGTCCTGTGCCCAGACCGCGGCAACGCGCTGCAGGCCCACCACCTGCCGGCCGCGCCGCCGCGCGCCGCGTTCCCTTGGGCACCGCCTCTCCTCGCCCAGCAGGAACGCCTCGTCGAGGAAGGCAAGCGCAAGGACAGGCGCCATTCCTGCGGCCTGCTCAAGGAAATCCATTCGCTCGAGAAGTCCACGCAGAAGCTCGCCGAGGCAATCGACGCGGCCCCAACCCCGCTCTTCGGCGACAGGGAGAACGACGTGCGAGAGGCTGTCGCGGAGCTCGCCGCCGTGTGTGAAGCCATGAGGGACGGCCTGGAGGCGCCGGCGTCGGGTGCGGCCGTGGACTTGCAGGCCGTGGCCCCCGCTGCCTCGCCCCCAACTTCCCCTATGTCCTGTTAGCCGCCCCATCGTCGACCATGGCCGGAGCTCGAGCGAGGAAGGGATAGAGATAGAAGAAATAGATGAGGGGCAAAAATGCCATTTTCCGTGGTCGGTCTATGCTGTCAGGTTGAGTTGGCGTGCCACGTCAGGGAAAATGGCAATAATGTATCAAATGCTCTCTCTCGATGGTAAATATGTAGGGGCGATTTTAAGAGTGATATCTGAAGAGGTGACATCCGTTATAATGGTAAAAAGTTAAATATCCCCCGTGGAAGAGGAATTAGGATCCACAGGCAGAGAAGTATGAGATCTTTACCACATCCTCCACCTTGACAGGCTCGTATGTTTTCTCTAGGTACTTCAGAATCATCTTGTAATCTTCTGAATCTTCAGTAACAGGATTGATCGAACAACCGAGCTTCTTGTAGCATTCAGACAGTGGATCGTCCAAAGTCGAACCGAACACATCCCCAATGAGATGAGATGCGTCATTTATATCACGTACTGTCTGAAAACCTGATGCTACCTGCATCCACATGAATTGTGAGAAATTCAACCAAGTAGATCAGATGACACAAAACAAAAGTAGAGTAGTGCATAACAATAACATACATTGTCAGCAATCTGCTCAAACCCCCTCATCGTGTATGGTCGAGTTGTGGGAAACAGAGTGAACCATTTGCTGCTGACTTCAGTCCAGAATGCATCTGCTTCTGGGCCAGACTCTGCTACCGACTCTGCATCTCCTCTCATCTGAAGCAGCATATCCTCCCCTGCCAGTTTGAACAATTGATGATAAACTGCTAGATAGCGGAACCAGAAGCACTGAAGTTCTAACCTCTCTTCAGATGGAGATCAGTAAGCATCCCTATGGGAAGGTCAGGCAGGTCCTGGGCCATCTCCATCAAAGCATACCTGTCACACAAATTATTAAAATCAGATTTCCGTATTGCACCTTTTTTTTTCGAAAGGCTTTTCCATATTGCATCTGCTGTGCTGACTTCTCTAAGAACGCAGAACATTCTATGAAAATACCAACCAAAAGATTATATTTCCAACTAGAACTTATAAAAAGTAGTTTCTGTTCATCTAAAGGATACCTGTAAATCTCTTGGCCATATAACTGTTTCACAAGGAAAGAAACAGAAGGATCAAGCTTGCAGTGTGCTGCTGCAGAACCCAACTGACGAAGTGCTGCACCTCCATGACGCACGTCAACCCCAACATCCTGCCACAAGATTAACATACAATACACTTCTTGAATCTATGAAATCATGAGGAAGGACTAAATAAACAAAAAGGCTAAGCAACATCTTGAAATTAAATTAGTGCAAGATCAAAGTACCATGTCCAAGGGATACATCTTCATACTCTTCTTCTCAAACTTCTTCTGCCTTTCCCAAGGCTCAAACTCATTTCCAGTAACCTCCTCAAACAGCCGAACAAATTCTTTAATAGCATCATTGACACGGCTACCAAAATCCTCCACTCGTTCCTCTGCCATCTGGTCATGACCAATTGGACCTTTCTTGTAGAATAGGTGCAAACGATTTTCAGGGACCATAACCAGCTGCATGATGCATAACCTGCACAGAAAAAAGTTCTGAGGTACATGAACCAAAGTACAATCCACAGAAAGCTATACCCCAATACACATAAGAAATTGAGAATACAAATACATACTCATTCATCTGGCATCCTAGATCGCATACAGCAAAAGTACAGTTGTAGATTATGCCATCCTTCTCAAAGACACATCCACCATCTTTATCGAGTTTAAAGTCCTTGTGGACAGATCTATTGCCAGCAAGTTTAACCTACTCAATCCAATCATTGTTATTGAGGAACTAAATAAATTTGTAACTGACAGATGCAACATGCACTAGATTAAGGCAAAAACCCCTGCAGCTAAGGTCTCAATGGCCTCCTCACTTGGATCAAGTTGGCCCAGTGGTAGTCCTCGGCCTTCCGGAACAAGGTCTTCCGGAACAAGGTCAGAAACAATATCATAGGCAGCTAAAGGCTGAACTTCCTTCTTCTCGATACTATCAATTATCCAATTCTCACTAACAACAGGAGTTCCACGCTCCCTGTGCAGTGTTAGTTGTCAAATTTAGTTCAACTGTGCTATCTATTTCTATGACAACTAAGAGCAAGGAACATGTCAAAAACAGAAGTATATTAGGCAAGGGATTACAGTGCTTCAGCAAATCCTCCAGAGCCACCTTTATCTCTCTCAGCTGGAGAAGCCACTACACAGGTAACACCTGCAAACACAAATGCACCAATATCATTAAGGATCTGTTATCATACCATCATCAAACACCATACAGTTCATACATGACAACTAATGGAAGAGCATATGATACACACCAAGCAAGGAATTGTTGACCTTCCCTCCATGCTTCATAATCTGCTCGTTGAAGTAACCCTATCCATTTTCAGCATTAACAGAATAAGATTCATGAAGCTCAGCAGCACAGGTCTAACTGTCTAATAGATGAGGTTGTCAAAGGCATTACATGTGAGCGTGACATCCGTCCAGACAAGGCAATCATCATGCCGGAGAAGATATGGGCCTCTTCATCAACATCACGTTTAGGGAACTCCTTTCCTTCATGTTGCTTCAGCCACTGCAAAAACAATAAACAAAATGCAGATAGTACATGAGCATTTATTAACTAAACCATGCTCAATGCAGTGCTCAGTACTTATACTATACAAACTGCAATCTCATTACCTTGCGGATGAAATCATCTTTTATGTCATCAGGAACTTTTATAGGACCACTTTTCCTTGAAGGGCCGTTAGTACTGAAAGTACAGCGTGCCCACTCGCTGTAGTTGCCAGTGCACTTGTATTTCCACCCCTTAAATTCAAGCTGACCACCACATACTGGGCACTTCTCGAGAGGTCCATGGAACATCATATCCTCACTGCAGACATGGAGAAAATGGTGAGACATTTAGCATGTGAACGAGGAGGTTCTAGTTGCAAATAAAGAACTCCAGTTTCAGCAGAATTCAGTACCATCTTGGAACGACTGCATCCTCTGATCCAGAAGCATCTTGCTCATTGGCTTCAAGGATCTTGCGCATGTCCTCCAGGGAGAGGTGTTCTCCTATGACCTTGCAAAACTCTGCAAAGTCTCTTGCGGCAGCTTCTCTCCCATTGTGTCAAGGACGTTAAACCCTCGGGTAGCTGGATCTCGGCTACGTAGCTCGTAGCCTCGATCCGTCTTCTCCGGCGAGGTAACTCTCTGCCGCAGGCTTGGGTGAAGAGGGGAAGGAGATTAGATGGGTAATATCTTTCTTAACCCCAACCAAAAGTCTGTTACAAGGATATATAGCCATTGGCCTCAACCGACCGGAGCAACATACTCCTTTAATTTAGGAACTAATAATAGAAAGCTATCTCTAATTTCCAAAACAGCCACTAGCGGTGATCGCGCCCAGCGCGTCCTCGCGCTCCGCGTCGCGGCGTACGTCAAGGGTTCGGCGCCGCCTGGAATACGTGCGCCCGACCATGACACATTGGGCTCAGATTCATCAGCTTTGAGCTTCTTGCTCTTCGTTGGTGCCTCTGCCTCCCCGTCTTGCCCTTTGCTGTCAGCAGGCTTTTTGTTCTTGGAGGGCACATGCTGGCCCCTTTCCTGGTCTTCATTCTCTGATTTCTGCTTTTTTGAGGCGAGCTTGCCTTCTTCCTGGGCAGCTGCATGCACCCGTGATCTCGTCTCGTGCACCTCCAAGAACAGAGTTCAGACTTTTGTCAGACAAGAATATTCAGAAACTACATGACAGAATGGGTAGAAAGAAAATGCCACAGCTAAACATAACAAAAGAACTAAAACGTTAGATTTCGGGTATGTATCACAAGGATCTTTCATGAAACAATAAGAAGATTCGTAGTTGGTCTATTCGAGATAGATGCTTTAGACGGAAACTTCCCACTCTGAAGTGGAAATATACGAGGGCAGTTCTAGCATAATGGGCACATCTCTATAATCTTCTAACAAGCAAAAAGTAGCAAAATTTACAGAGATAGACAATGAACAGTTACTAAGCCATTCGTTTCATTCAAGTATTTTTTTTTCTGTACAAGTTAAAGAATTGGAACTACACATGATTGGTGAGATAATCCTAGGTACAGTTACAACTAAGGGCATTTCAGGTCAGCGGATGCTGAACAAAAGAAACAGTGAGGTGTACACTTGTCATCGATTGGCGAACCATGCTATTGGCCTCAGTCAAATAAGGCACATTAACTTGTCATCGATTGGCGAACCATGCTGAACATCCAATCAAACTTCTTGTGCAAAAGACCTATTTCAACCCAAGAAAACAAAAAATGACCAAAACAGGAGGGAGCGACCGAACATGTAACTAGACGAGAGCAATGTTCGTAGCCAAGGACGAGCAGGGCAACAGAGCTGACCATGGCGACTGGACGAGAAGAAACCGTCAGCAAGAAGCATCAGAGTCTTGACCGTCCTCTATCGCTGGGGATAAATAGGGAGGGACCGGGTGGTGGGGATTGGAGGCGGATGGGGGTAAAGGCAAGAGGGCGTCTGGGTGTCGCCGCGGCTGAGCTCCAGCTGTGGCCATGCCCGCCTGCCTCCGCGACACGTCGCCTGCCGCCCCCGCTCACATGCAGAGCGCTTCGGGCTCCGTGAGCCGGGAGGGAGGACACGAAGCGGGGGCATGTGGCCGCCTTGCCGTGTGGGAGGTGTAAGTGTGTATGGGGATAGGAGCATAGAGTTTGGGGAAGAACAGAATGAACGCGGCAGGAATCCGCGAGACAGATGAATCTTCTATATTTGATAGGAGGGGTTCTGTTCTTCGTTATTCCATTCAGTTACAACTTACAAGTGCGGGCTTATATAGCCTGGCGCCGACCCGACGGCTGTTGCCAGACAGGCATCAGTACACATGCCTCTACTCCTCTAAGCCGCTACCGGCCCCACATATCAGTCTCTAACATTTCTCCTGCCTTGACAACCAGGCTGTCCTCAGGCTGGTGATGATCCTGAAAACCTTCTCTGTATCTCGTCCTCATCTTCCCAAGTCACCAACTCTTCAGGCAGTGCATCCCATTTAACCAGTGCCTGCTTGATCAGGTGGTTGCCCCTTTTTATCATACGGGTGTCCAACCATTTCTCTGGCTTCATGTCCTGCTCCGGGTCAGTACAAACAGATGTGAGATCAGATGTTACACTTACATCCTTCGGTATGTGTCGTTTCAGCTGAGACACATGTATGACAGGATGAATCCTGCTTGCTGGTGGCAAGTCCAGCTTATATGCTACTTCACCAATCTTCTGCAATACTTTGAATGGCCCATAAAATCTGAAGGAAAGCTTCTTATTGGATCTGTTGGCCACTGAGGTTTGCACATATGGCTGCAGCTTCATATAAACCATATCATCTGGTGCAAAAGACCTTTCAATTCGATGTTTATCAGTTTGGGATTTCATTCTTTGTTGGGCACGTTCCAGATGCTGCTGGATGATTCTGGTTAAGAGTTTCCTTTCTTTCATCCACTGCTCTAGATCAGGCACCGAGCATAACTGCAATTTCTCAATTCCCAGATGCCGAGGACCGTGACCATACAGGACCTCAAATGGGGATCGGCCAAGCATTGAGTGATATACAGTGTTGTACCAAAACTCAGCAACAGATAACCACTTACTCCATTTCCGTGGGCATGAGTTGACAGTGCAGCGTAGAAAGCCTTCCAAGCACTGATTCAATCTCTCCGTTTGCCCATCCGTCTGTGGATGGTAAGCTGAACTCATTAACAGTTTTGTATCAGTTAGCCGGAACAGCTCTTGCCAAAGGTTGCTTGTGAATACCGGATCTCTGTCAAAAATGATCGCCTTCGGAGCATACCAAGATACCTGGCTTACTGCAACCATTGCCAGTGCCGTCTCAGGCATGGGAGATAGTCAGTATGGACTTTGTAGAAGGTCTGCCAGCATCTGATCGATACAATGCTATTCTAGTCATAGTTGACAAGTTCTCCAAGTACGGGCATTTCATCCCACTTCACCATCCTTACACTGCAATTCAGATTGCAAAGCTGTTGTTGGATCATGTGTACCTTGGCTCGCTGGCAAGTCGTGCACTGCTGAACAAATTTCTGCACCGTGTCTTTCAATTTGGGCCAAGCAAACTAACAGGGCCGGCTCTATAGATTTTATGGCCCTTGGGCAATACGAAAGCAAGGGCCCTTTAAGCTAAATTTTTTTCCCCACTTCTATGATCATGAGAAGTCATACAATAGTACTAGTATGACGTAGATAGGGGCAGGTATATATAGTTCATAAAATACAATGTTTATACAATAGAAGAAACTAAAAGAAAAATAAAATGACTATTATGATTACCTCAAATAAGTAAATAATTCTTCAAGGCTTGTTGGAAAAAATATCTTCTGGCATTTCTGGATGCAAAATCATTGAGAGCAATGTCGAGATCAATGTTATACAAGACATCCTTCTCAGTACAACACATAGCGCTTAGACCTAAAATTGCGACAGAAAGTAAATAACATGATAGAATTTTAGAGAAACATCACTAACATGGTTACAAATGGTATATAGGTAGATGAGAAATTCGAGATAGATAGATCAAAAATTCAAAATTCAGATCATGGTCAAACGTAGAAGTAGTGAGGTGTTACCTGTATGCGGCAATTCGGGGAGAGTGTCGACAAGTCGCCGCCCCGCTCTCTGCAAGGAGCCACCGCATTTCCTGCTGCTGAATAAAGTATATACAATATAATATACATATATAACATATACTCATATACATATAGATGAAATTTTTTGGGCCCCCGATGGCTGGGCCCTTGGCCGTCGCTCCGGCCGCCTAGGCTCAGAGCCGGGCCTGCAAACAGAGCTCGAATCCGAGTGTAAGTTGGAGTGATACTTGAGTGACCTCCAATACCGCTGTCATGCAAGGCCTGAAGGATATGCTGTTGGGCCAACACATTACTGCCCACCCAAACTCAGCCTTTGAGCCTGATAACTCCATTAGTGAGAGTATATCCCTTGTCATTCTGGCCTGTGATGCTCAATTCTGTGAGTAGCTGTTTGTCCTCAGGGTACTCTTCATAACCTTCTTTCAGCTTCTGAATCCAGGACGACACACATTCAGAGATCGCTGCCACCTCCTCATCCCTAGTGCACTGAGATAGAGCATCTGCAGTGGCATTAGTAATACCCTTCTTGTACTGAATCTTGTAGTCTAGATCCATCAGTTTGACTAAGGCTTTGTGCTGAAGTTTGGATGTCACCCGTTGCTCTGTCAGATATAACAGGCTGCGGTGGCCCGTACGGATGACAAACTGATGCTGTAAATAAGGCCGCCATTTCTCAATTGCCATAAGAATGGCCAAACACTCCTTCTCGTAGACCGATAGTGTTTGATTTCGAGGACATAACGGCTTACTGAGGTATGCTATTGGGTGATCTTGTTGCATTAGCACGGCCCCGGTGCCTGAATCACAAGCGTCAGTCTCGAGCACAAAGGACTGACGAAAATCCGGCACGGCCAAAACAGGTGCTTGCACCATTCTTTCTTTGAGCAGCTGAAAAGCCTGATCTACTTGTGGTGTCCATCGAAATGGAGTGGCCTTCTTGAGCAAATCGGTCAGTGGCCTTGCGATCATACCATAGTGTGCTATAAATTTGCGATAATAGCCTGTCAGTCCTAGGAATCCCCTAAGCTGCTTAACAGTATTTGGAGTTGGCCACTTCATAACAGCTGAAACCTTGTTGAGTTCTGTAGACACGCCAGCAGCTGACACCACATGGCCCAAGTACTCCACTGATGTCTAGGCAAAAGAACATTTGGAACGCTTGAGTAGGAAGTTGTTGTGTTGCAAGATCTCAAATTCTCACATGCTCTTCCAATGTACGACTGTAGATAAGTATGTCGTCCATGAAAACAAGGACCCTCTACGAAGCAGTGTAGCAAAACTCTTGTTCATCAAACTTTGGAAAGTAGCCGGCGCATTGGTTAGCCCAAAGGGCATTACCATGAACTCATAGAGCCCTTGATGTGTTTTGAATGCTGTTTTGTACTCATCACCAGCA